GTGTGTGTGTGTGTGTGTGTGTGTGTGTGTGTGTGTGTGAGTGTGTGTAAAGTAATGACAATTTCATTGAAAAATACTTTGTAAATAAAAGTTTGCTTCGATTTAAAAAATATTTATTACTGTAAACATAGCAAGAGACAAAAAATCTACCATGAGTAATTATTGGAAAATTCCCAACACACAGCCTTGTGTTTATAAAATGCGAGTAAAGAATAAAACAACCCGTAAATTTTTCAACAATTCAAGCATCATAGAAAAAGAAAAAAATATCACTATTTTCTGTTATGATATTATAACTATTAATTAAAGATGAGGAGTTTTACAAAAAAAAAAACTAAATAAGTAAAATTATAATCCTACTATTAATTCATTTGATCTTTGTGTGGTAGTAAATAATATTATAAGCCAAAAAAAAATTACTGATATGGAAAAAATCATTCGTCCGTTCGCAATTGTCCTATCTATATTCTATTACAGAAATTTGCATCAGGGCTAAAAGCTATAAGCAAGATAAAATATTTTGTGTAGGCTGTAAAGACGGTATCATGGCAAGGCATCATAATAGTATATTCAAGATGTTGATAGTCTATGTAAAGAGTTTCTTCTCCCACCCTTATTACTCTATGATGAATCACAATACGGATCGAAACATCAGCAAAAAATGGGGAAAAAAATATATCAGACATCTATCTACTTTATTATCGCCATCTTTGCATTATTTAATATAGAAAGTCCTAAAATGATGGAATATCATTTACCACCATGCAAAGGTCAACTGAATTAATTATTGGACCGTGGTTTGATTTATTTAATATTATTATTTTATTTATTTTATAAATCACACAACTTTTTTTATCTTCTTTATTTAGAAGTATTTTCCTCAGTATTGAAAATTCATCAAGATGTGTTTATTATAATAAGCATTTATTACAATTTGTATTAAATAATCAACAATCAATTTGAGCAGAGCTCTTGTATAATATACATGCTTGGAAGCACCATGGTTTACCAACCGGAATGTTTGATAATTGTCAATTTTTAGATTAAACATTGATTGAGAAAAGATTGTTTATTATTTTTCCTTAACCATTCTCTAGATAGATAAAAAAATGCCTTTAATTGAATTATTTCAGTTGGAAAAGAAACTTTCGTTACAAGCACCACGGGCTGTGAATATATGCGCTAAATTTATAGGCTTTAAAATGTCTTTTTTCACCTTGTCCCCTTATCGTTATCTCGCTCAACATTTTTTTCAATTCTTTCTTCATTTCTTTTTTTTTTTTTTTTTTTTTTTTTGTTAAATTCAGTATCAAATGATGATCTACTGAAAAATTGAAAAAGTTTAATATTTATTTGCCACACAATTTTTTTATTTAGCAAGAGCTATAATACGTGTGTTTAGGTACAAAAAGAGATCTATTAACATTTCATTACTATTTAAACAGGAAAAATCATGATCAAGTTTATTATTGTAATATTTTATATTCATTATCACCTGAGATTTTTATCTATCTGTTTATTTTTTATGTCTTTCAATATGGAAAGATAAATCAATTTCATTATTGGTTTCCCCCTTTTTAGAATTGCTGTCACATGATACCAGGTCAGAAGAAAAACTGAAAATTATTCCACGATGGTTTATTATTTATAAATGGATAACCACATACCATTATAGCAATGTAACAGTAGAAAATAGTGATTTCGTGGGCGTCAACGAATGTGAACCTACCCAACGTTGCATTCGTTCATTTAACATGGTGCCTAAGATTTGACTAAGATCACGCTCATCCGCCATATTTTCCTCCTTAATTAATTATTTCATTTTGTAGAGGCGGCGTGTGCCTAAGGAGGGTCTCCCGACCTCACTGTCAATCCATGGCCCAACGAAACAGAATAAATAATTAATCTGTCGTCAGCTGAATTATGAAACTAATAATATCCTTATTTATGTACATACCTATACAACTTTAAAATAAATTCCTGTTTATTTCCAATGCTATATGTTTGGTGAGAACCGATGTAATAAAGTTGAAACTTTAGCGAATATGAACATTCTTCGTAATATAGATTCTAGGAAGAGAGGAGCTCTTTTTGAAATATTATATAGCTCGAACATATTCCTCTGAAATGTGGGAAGGTGAGGGGGGAAGGTAGGAGAAATATACAATTCGAGCTGAGCTATGTTACGGACCTCAACTCGCAGAGGGTCTGCCATATTCTTGCCATTACTGTTACTCAAAGCAATGGTTGGTGTATCCGTACCCTTCCTTCGATTTCCTCCTGCCATAGTAAGAAATCGCACTGGCCTAGAGGCACAAAGATTAGTTTTGATGAAAACACTATTTTAAAATAGGTCAACAATAAAGAGATTCTATTATGTAGTCCACATTACTAGGCACTAAATATTATTTATACCATGGCACAGGGGTGCCCAGAAGGGGGTTTTATGGCGGCCATCAAAATTATTAGAGGGCACTTTTTGACGGGGTTTTCAATTTTTAAGGGGCCACATTTCGACGGGGTTATGATTTTTCAAAATAAAAAGTTTGAAATTAAAAGACAATTGGAAGCGTGGAACAGACTGCAGTAAGTGTAGTTGTATGTAATCTACGAATATTTAAATTCTACTTTCGTTTGCACAACTTCGATATTTAAGGAGGAAATCGAAGCCAAGTTGAACAATGGAAATAAACACAATCACAAATAAGACTTTTTTTTTACAAATTCAGAGTAAAAATTACTTTAAATTTACTAACAACTACACGAAATCTAAGTAACAGCAATAAGTGTTATGCCAGTAACATTTGTAATCGACCAAACAATACAGTATAAATTAATTTTTTTAATAAAACCTAAAATTTTATAACCACATAACAATAATGTAATAACCTAACTCCCACGCCATATGATCAATGCCTTCAACATTTCACAGCCATTATATTGTTAACAATTATTTAAATTAATTGTAATTATATAATGGAATTCAATGAAATTGATAGTAAGTAATTTATATACTGTTCTCCAAATTTCCTCCAAGTTTGGGTTAAATTGAATTCCCCGTTTTCAAACTATAGGCATATCAAATAACACATATCCTGATCTAAAAGCGGAAGTTTTTTTTATTTTGGAGTAGTATGTATAATGTGATAAAATTTATGCCTATTTCATTTTACGTTTACCGATCCCCAAATTCCCTCCAAATTTGAGCCAAATCGAACTACAGGTTTTAGAAATATAGACGTATCAAGGAAAACAGGTTTGCGCATATATAAGAGAAATAAATGGACAGAATTCAATAAAATTGACCCTACATTATTTTTTCACAAATACCTACCTTTTATCCAACTTTGAGCCAGACCAAACTAGCAATTTCTGAAATAAGGCATATCTAGAAAAATAAGTTTGCGCGAGCGTAAGCGGAAATGCTGGTTAGAATTTGATAAAATTCATATGGGACCATCTAGACACCAACCCGCACAATTCCTGAAAATCGGATAAACGGTAGTAGGTGATATGCCCGTTACATCGATTTGACTACTGGCAGACATATACCGAACCAAATTTGATCCATGATGTCTGAAACGTAAAAAGCGAGTGAACATTTTCGATTCTGAATACAAAATTATTTTTAACCTCTCTCACGAATACAATGTTTCCCTATCGTCGGTAGTGAGGAAACAAAAGGTGTAAAAATCGTTTTTGAATTCGGAATCTTCTTGCGCCTGCAGCTTTTCAGGAGGAAATTAAGCTTGACATGTTTATGTACTAAATACTTTCTACTTCAGAAGCAGACCTAGGATTTATTGTTAGAGATTATTTTGATAGTAGACATACATCCTCTAAGAAAATTAAAAAACTTATTGATTAAAAGTGCCTTTTTTTAACAACATTTTAAATAGAGAACTAAAGTTCCAAAAAAAATGAGAAATGAAGCTCTAAAAGATGTTTGGCTGGACTCAAAGGATCCAGAATAGTATTTAATGAAACCAAACAATTTACTTTTAGATACTTACGGATGTACCTGAAATTATGTCATATACATATTATTTATTTAAGCATTACTTATAAATTTAGTACACTCCATTACACAACACGAAAGTTAAGTTTTTTCTGCAAAATCTCGGAATTTTTTTTTTTTTTTAATTTCTTTATTGAGTATTATAACAATCTGTCTGTTGGACATTGGTTATAGTGAGGTAGGATGACATTCACACCATATGTCCAAAAAAATAAAATAAATAGAACAAAAATAATAATCAAAAGTATATACAATAGACAATAAAATAAAATAACCTAAAAAAATAAGAAAATTAAAACTAAGAAAAAAAAAAACACATGCATACCTATATACAATCAGGCGAGGGAACTCCAGGAGAACCCTGCGCTACTCTCCCAACCGCGTCACTGGTACTAAAGCCAGCGGAGATTGGTCGGAATCAACACATAAAATTATAATTGCTCAATCCTTTGAATGGTTTGAAGATAATACAGTAAAATCACATATATTTTAAAGGAAATTTAATGCTAAACAATATTCTTGTGTATCACATTTTCGAAAAATGAAGATATAAAAAGTTCGTTAGGTGAATGAAGATAAAACGTGAGGGAAAATTTTTTTTTTTTAAATCAGCGATTTCAGAGAGGAGTGACTTTTATACATTTTTGATGCAAAATCTCTTTCATAGAATTTTTTTTTAATCAGATAGTTACTATATAATTTGAATTAGAATTTTATTAACAAATTTATAATTATAAATTATTATATACATGGTTTTGGATGAATACATCCTTCTATTTTTTTAGTAATAAGTAACTATGTGGCTTGATGAATATAAAGGAATACATTTTTTTTTCAGCCTGCGGCTTCAGGGAGCGGCGTGCCCGCCGTTATCGGCTACTTGAATGGTGTGAAGATGCCGCACGTGGTCGAAGTGAAAGTTCTCATCGTGAGGATGCTGAGCACGATACTCACCTGCGTCGGGGGCCTGGCGGGCGGCAAGGTAAGACCCTTGTTATGTATCAAACATCATGTACAAAACTCTTTATTTATTATTGTATTAGTGAAAACTAGTTCCTTTTCGTTACACCAAAACAGTCGGTTTCAAGATCATTCAAATTGAAATATTCCTCGATTTATATATATATATATATATACGTATATTATTTCGGATGTGAACAAGAGTTTCATTACCCAGCTAGTTTCTCGCATTCATCTAAAATCGAGGAGTATTGCAATTTGAATGATCTGGAAACCGACTGTTTTGGTGTAGCGAAAATATATATATATATATATATATATATATATATATATATATATATATATATATGGTGTGAAGTATATATATGTATACACATAGATTATTTCGGATGTAAACAATTGTTGCTATTTAAGTGCATTGTAAATGCATAGTAAACCTCAAATCTCAGTATCACGTTAAAAATAATCATCAACAAAATCATTCTTCGTCCTGCCCTTCTCTATGGTACTCCTCTATTGTCCCACATTTCAGAAAATGCAAACAAGAGACTTCAGCGATTTCAAAACGGAATTTTAATCAGAAAGCTAAAGGCACATCATTTCAAGAAGAAAAATCCGATAAACTACAAGCTTTCTTAAATTTGCCCAGCGTGTCTGAATTCATAAACAGAATAATAATAAAATTCTATGATTCTTTGAAATATTTAACCAATTGAGAATTCAATATGATAACATTTCCGCCGGCTCCTCAGCGATGGCAAAATATAAATGTAAGGTAGATTTTAAGTTAGTCCTAAGATAATTATCAAGATAGAGGTGATCCCCACAACCCCGATAGAAAATCAAGGAATAAAGATAAACAGAACTAAGAAAGGCTCAGAAAGATCGTAAAATGTATCTATAATACAGCACAAGAAACATCTTAAATATATGTAAGAAACGAAACCATGCGTAAAACTGGGGATTAGAAAAAAAAAATCACACAACCCCAAATATCAGCCTCAGATTAAAAATACTCATTTACAAAAGCATTCATTGATTTTATCTTGGTTCTCCTCTGCTGTACCACACATCAGAAAAAATAGCTAAAAGCACGCTCATTGAAAAATAAAAGTCAGACAAACTGCATGCTTTATTAAACTAACTCAAATTAAATGAATTTATCAATAGAAGAAAAATACATTTTTACAATCCTTTACAGTATCTAACCAATAGTGAATTTAATACGCTTACAGTCCTGAAAAATCCTCAGCGATGGCAAAATATAGATGACAAATAAATTTGAAGTCTATGATTTATGATGTAAATAAAAATAAAAAATAAATAAAAAAAGTTTATGATTTATGATGTAATACGAATATTTTTAGAAGAAAAAGAAAATTATAAAGTTATAGGTGAACCCCAACATAGTAATTAACAGTGAAAAAAAATAAAGATTAAAAATAACTAAAGAATTCTCCAAAAAACCTTAACATTAATTTGATTTACAGTACAGGAAACATCAAATAGCATAAATAACAAACAAATCATCAATGAAACTAGCGATATGAAACAAATATACACTTAATACTAATAAAGTATACAATATATTAAGGAAAATATCTTCTACAAAAATAAAATGTTGACATAGCTCGTTTTCTTCAACACAATAGATTAAAAGAGAGAGAGAGAAACACTTTATTTTCATAAAATATAAAGGATTGCTGCCCAATAATATTGGGTTGCTATAAACCCAGAATACTCTTCTATCCTTAGGACAATATATGAACTTATATATAAATATACAGAAGTATTAGTTAATATTAGTAAAATAGATATATATATATATACATTTTTTTTTCCTTTTTCCTTCCTTTCATTGTTCATGCTTTTTTTTTTTTAACGTTTAGTTTCCCTTTCTCTCACTTCTCTCTCTTTATCTATCTATTGTTTTCAATTATTCATTAAATAAATACATAAATTAAAACTCTCGGGCTAGCCATGCACGTGGTGGTGAAATTAATTGTAATTCACAACCACAATGGGACAAAATACATACAATAATGAAATACATTGCTAAAATAAGTCTATGAACATTAAATTGATTTTTCCCTCCTCCCTGCTAGATTAAGAGATGCGTGGAATGAAGAAAAGTCTTCTAAACAACAACAAAATATCTATAGAGAAATATGCATGGTAAAATAATATGACACATAGAAAATTTTAATCATTATGAAAATTCATAAAGCCATTGTTATTGCTTTCATATAATTCAAAATTAATTATTTGGTTATCAGATCGAAATCCTACAAATTATTTTTATTTCAATATTTTAATAATTATTATCTTAAACAAACCATAGGTGTTCATGAACTAGGAGTTTTACGCCTTTAAACAACAAACAAACAATCTACAATTATAATTAAATAAATATTTCCTTCTTAAGATGGTGGGTTATTAACAATCAAGAGGTGCTTATCAATACGTCTTCTTTCGGACACATTCGGATATTTTCAGAAATCTAGGAGTAGTGTATTCGGAGTGATCTTGAAACAGAGCGCCATCTTTGAGTAGTATGAGGAAACTATTATCTATTAGTGTTTTAACTAATTTACGTTCTTTTAATTATTTAGTGAAAACTATTTTGTTATTCTACAAACCTGATTATTCCACTCATTTCTGACTAGGCATCCATGGTCCTCTTGAGGAAAAATATTAAACATTAACAAAAATAATGAAAAAACAATTACTTAGTTAGTATTAATTCTGAATTGTTATTCCAATATCGCGTCTGGCTTCAAGACCACTTATTGACAATCAAGTTCATACAGTTTATAACTATTGATGTGTCTTAACGACATATTTTTGTCTAAAATGTGCAGAAAACTATTTACGAAGAGAAAAATGAAAAAAAAAAATGTTTTTTTTTCTAACGCACTTGATTATATATAATACGTAAAATTATTATATTTATTAATGGATAGATAAAAATAACTTTATTCTGGGACAATGTCGCTTGAAAACTACAAAATTAAAACATTACATATGGCCTAAATAGGAATTCCTAAATAGAAAAAAGTATAGAAATCATTAAGTAAACTTGCTATCTACAAAACAAGACACTTAAATCTATATAAAGTGGCAAAACAGTATAAATATACACTTTTAAGAAAGAAAGAAAAAGTGCATTAAATTCTCCTTTAAAATAAGCTGCCAAGAAAAAAGAAGACCTAATCTAACAATATGAAATTCTTGAGTATTTAAATGCTGAATAATATGTAAATGAATCATGATCATTCTTGACGTAACTATAGGTAAGAATTTAATTGTACATATAAAAAAAAAGCAATATTTCTAGCAAAGAACAGCACTAACTTTCAATGATGAGTGACATAAAATTATTAAATTGCTAATAATAATTACATAAATTGCTAATAAAGTTTAGCTGACTGTTTCTGGGACAGGAATTGGAATAGGAGGATTTTGAATGTAGATATAGAGGGGAGATGTCGAATTTAGATAGGGAAAGAATTCCAGAAATTGATTGAGCGAGGAGTAAAGGATTTTTTCAATATCGCAGGTCTGTGAGAAGAGATGTAAAGGTCAAAAGGTCCAGAAGAAAAAGCCACCTTTTGGTAAGGGAATGGACTGAGTACTTGAATTAGGGAAGGTTTTAGGCGTAAGAATGGCGATGATTGTTGATGATTTGATAGAGGGACGTACCTAGTAGATATTGTCTTCGAGAGGAGGGGAAGAGCCACCTCAACTCAGTGTAGTGATGAGAGACATGGGAATGTCTCAGGGTCTCAATTACAAATCTTACGCAGTTATTCATTAGTCTTTTATATGATGTAGGATACGGAGAAATGCGTTTGAAATGTAAATGTAATAGTGATAGCAGTAATATTTCAATTTAACCAATATTATTTAATTCCTGATGTGGTAGCTATAGTTTGTGCCTAACAATCCCGCAGAATACATGGGATGTTGATTATTGTTGGTCGAAAACATATAAAGTATGTTTATCTCCTAGGAAGAAGTGTAATTTGAGGAACAGCTGACAAAAATATCTATAAGTCGCTTCAAGCTGTTATTTATATATAAAGAAGAGTGAATGAGCTTGGAACTTGAGCTAACTTAACCTAACAAATGTCAGCAATCCACTACAAAGTGTTGGACGTCGGTTCTCTGCATCTACTTTTGGATACACTGCGGTTGTTTAACATTCCACCTAACGTATGCTCAAAATGATCTTGACTCCAATCACCATCTAGAATTAACAATGCGGAACTAGTACTTGAATTTTTTTTATTCGATAACTAAAATCATGAAGTACTTTTTCAAAGTATTTTTTTTCCAATTGCATAACTATCAGTATACTATTTAATGAAGCATAGTATGTCTCAGTTCAGTTTAATTAATTTGATCAGACTCCTTTTGATTTTGAAAAGTAACGTGTCACACTGCTATTTGCCATATCATCGTGCACAAAAATTATCTCCTTCCGATTTCTATATATGGGAACGTTTCTTCCGTTTTAAATGATGATGACGTGTTTATATCGCTCTGACACACTTGAACTTTCTTCACTATCACTAATCCAGAAAGGAAAATAATCAGTTAAAAGTAGAATTTATGCTTTGTAACGGTTTTTTTTTTCTATGAAATAAAATGACACCCAATTTTTTTTAATCTACTTTTATTTACCTAGTGATCTAAATAATTTCGAGACCAGGTATATTCTGCTGAAACTTCCCAAAAATAATGAAATTATTGAGTATTTATAAAACTATTCTCTTTTTCAATCAGCATGCTCCAAAAAAAGAAAGTGGGGCTAAAATAATTGTGTCGAGCTAAATCCATCATTTAGTGTAGCACATGTATCGTGGCATAACATAAAAACAATTGAGGAGTTTTATTTATTTCTCTCTTATAAAGGCATACAAGTTATCAAATGTGTCAAAAGAACATTAATTCATGTTTTCAACGATTATAGTAACGTTGTATTCTAATCTATTCCTGAAGAGATATAAAAGCTAGAGT